TACATCTATCCCAATGAGCCGTCTATCAAATCGTTGCAATTGATGTTCGATCCCGAAGAGAAGGAAAAGATCTTCGAAAATTGAGTTTTTATGATCCTTTAAGGAATCAAACTTATTTAAATGTTTCGGCTATTCTATATTTCATCGAAAAAGGTGCTCAACCTACAGGAACTGTTAAGGATATTTTAAAGAGGTCGGTGGTGGAACTTTGTCCTAATCAAGCGAAATTCAATTAAGGAAAAAATTTGGGAAATACAAAAATAGAAGATCAAAGTTAGACTTATAACTACCCTTTCTGTATTTCCTGCTCTATTTGTATATCTTTTTAAGATTTATAATTGCTTATGTTGAATTCTGTTTTTATATTGAATTGAAAAAGCCTTTATTTCAATTTCATTATGAATGTTTTCTTTTTATTTATTTTTTCATTTCTTTTTCCAGCTACACTTTTTTTTTTGTATCTAGATTCTATAGGTAGTGCCTATTAGGACTATATTATTCATATTAGACTAGGACTATATTATTCGTGTTAGACTAAGATTCTATCTAGCATCTCTATATATTCGCTCATTGTACTTTCAGACATAATTATTGAATACAACACAATTATATTCTCATCTGGTATTAGTTAGCTAGGGTTTTCCGATGGCATCGAACCAAACTAATTTCTTGTAAAGACACAACGTCACCTCGCTTCGTAGCAGTAGCCAATGGCATCGAACCAAGATACACCGTATGAGAAGCAGTCTAGTCAACGACGTGACATTGATGATCCATGTCAAATTTGTAAATGTTTTGGTCACACGGGAGCCAACTGTTTTCGGCGTTATTCAGGGGCTCCAGGTTTTCAAGCTAATGTGACCGTCTCTGGTGATAATAGTGATTCCAACAGTCCTCATCAGTGGTTCCCTGACACTGGTGCTACAGATCATGCTACGCCTGTCTCTTCTGCGAAAATCACAGACGACGTGGTCGTTCCCTATGCCGATCCAACACAATACAAGAGTCTTGCTGGTGCTCTCCAGTATCTTACGGTAACTCGTTCGGATCTATCTTATGCGGTTAATCTATTGTGTCAACATATGCATGCTCCCACTACTGCAGACTGTGTTCTTGGGCAGTAATCTTATATCTTGGGTTTGTCAGAAGCAACGGACTGTGGCACATTCTTCGACTGAAACAGAATACAAGGGACTCGCTGATGTATCTGCAGAAGTTACATGGCTCGTTTTTCTGATACATGAAATCGGCATCCCGCCTGCGTCTCCTCCTCAACTATGGTGTGATAATTTGGGAACTACTTATTTATGTGTCAATCCAATGTTTCATGCCCACACGAAACACATTGAGATTGACTATAATTTTGTTCGCAATAAAGTAGCCAAAAAAGAGTTAGAAGTGCACTTTATTTCAACCAAGGATCAACTAGCGGATATTTTCACAAAGTCTCTGTCGTCTCTTCGTTTTAACTCTCTCCATGACAAGCTTAATGTTTTGGCTAGCTAACCTTGTGCTTGAAGGGGAGTATTATGACTGTATTATTCATATTAGACTAGGACTATATTATTCGTGTTAGACAAGGATTCTATATAGCATCTCTATATATTCCCTCCCTGTACTCTCAGACATAATTATTGAATACAACACAATTATATTCTCATCGTGCCAATACAAGTCCTTTTGTTTTATTTTCATTCATTTAAATAAATATATGAATTATTCATATATTAGTTATTAGGATTTTTTTTTTCATTTTTCAATTGAACCAATTTCAATTGAAAATGGAATTTCTTTTGTTTTTTTATTGGTTTTTTTCTCAACATTTCTATTGACAACAGCGTATCAAACAAATATAATTCATTTTAGTTGTCAATTTAAGTAAAGATAAGTGAAGTGGATCTATTTTTTGTTTCAAAAAATTGTCAATTAGAAAATGTATGTGTGTGTTTTTTTAGATTTCTTTGTTCAACAGTTTGATTGAATCGTTTTTTTTTTTTATTTTTGTTTTTGTATTCGGATTGTATCTATACAGTCTCTAATAGAATTCTCCAATTCTATATTTTTTTCGGGTTGCTAACTCAACGGTAAAGTACTCGGCTTTTAAGTTCGACTAGGATCTTTTACACATTTGGATGAAGTGAGGACCATCGTTAAAGCTTGGAAGACCGCGACTGATCCTGAGGGGAAATGGATGTTAAAAATAGCATGTCGTATCAACGGAGAGTTCTGAGAATATTTCAGTCTTACTAGATCGGTATAAGGCCGTGTTCGAATTCTGAGAACATAACAAAATGAAAATCCTAGTTAGGTCGAATAATGAATAAATGGATAAGGCTAGGGCTTCAATTCAATTTTGGGGAAAGAAAAAGCAACGAGCTTTGGTTCTTAATTTGAATGATTCCCGAGCTAATTAGACGTTAAAAATCAAAATAGATTAGTGCCCACGGCGGGAAGGGGGTTCTCGCCTCACGAGTGGATTCTTTATTTTTTTGTAATGAATCCTACTTATTCTGAAATGGAGATTAGTGTGTAAAAGAAAAAGTATGTTGATAAAGAATGTTTTTATGAAATCAAAAGAGCGATTCGATTTTCAAAATAAAGGATTTCTAACCATCTGATTATTCTATTCTAAAATTCCTATAATATTAATATATAGATCGATGAAATGGAATGGGAGAGTCTAAGGAGAGTCTAGCGAATCCGTTTAAAGTTTACCAGGTTATGAGGTATTTTTTTATTCAAACTCTATTTATTATTACTATATATGAATACCTTGTTTTGACTGTATCGCACTATGTATCATTTGATAACCCTCAAAATCTTATGTCTTTGGTCCAAATCCAAATTAAAGTGGAGGAAATTTAAAGATATTTACAACCAGAGAGATCTCAACAACACAACTTCCTATATCCACTTCTCTTTCAGGAGTCTATTTATGCACTTGCTCATGATCGTTGTTTAAATAGGTTGATTTCTTTTAAAAATACTGGGTATGAAAAAAAAATTGAGTTTTCAAATTGTGAAACGTTTAATTACTCGAATTTATCAACGGATCTATTTTACTAATTCTTCTAACAAAAGTCAAATTTTTGGGCCCAACAAGACTTTGTATTCAAAACTGCTATCAGAGGGGTTTGCTTTTATTGTGCAAATTCTGTTTTCTTTACGATTCATATTAGAGCGCAAAAAAAATATTAAAATCTCAGAATTTACGATCAATTCATTCAATATTTCCTTTTTTAGAGGACAATTTCTCACATTTAAATTATGTATTATATATACTAATACCCTCCCCCCCCCCCCCCCCCCCCCCCAAAAAAAAAAAAAATCTGGAAATCTTGATTCAAACTCTTCACTATTGGGTGAAAGACGCTTCTTCTTTGCATCTATTACGATTCTTTCTCCACGAGTATTACAATTTTAATATTTTCATTACTCCAAAGAGGTCTCGTTCCCTTTTTTCAAAGATAAATCAAAGATTTTTCTTCTTCTTATATAACTATTATGTATGTGAATATGAATCTATTTTTTTATTTCTCCGTAACCAATCTCTTCATTTACTATCAACCAGTTTTGGAGCCCTTTTTGAACCCCCAACCTCATGCTTAAGGAACGAGGTACTGAACCACCACGCCAACCGCATGATTAAGGGACATAACGGTGATGCTTCCATGTGAGGAGTAGTGAATTTCACTTGTCACTCAAAATGTAACTATTAATATATTTTCTTTTCATATCAAAATATTATTCACTTTTCTAAAATAAGCAGCACAATTTCTTACACTATTTGTTTAAAAACAAAACCAACAACTTAAAAAAAATACAGAAAAAAGGAGAAAAAGTTATCCACTGTTTTTAGGAACGAAGAGAAAAATATGCATGTTTACACCAATATTATACTACTATCAAATTCTTTAAAAATATTATTTTCACTGAATTAATACCCAAAATAGTGGTTTTTTTCAATTTCGACCTAAACAACTTTAGTGGCCTAATGTAGTCCCAAACTTTTGTGTATTTTCTCAATTTAATTTAATCATCCGTTTATTATTACGTCAAATTGGTGTTAAATAAAGGAACAATTCAATAATCTCAATATTGGTCTCTCTTTAGTCTCAGTCCTACGAAATGCGAAATCCTTCTTTCTTTTACGAATTACTTCCAGACCTGGGAATCAAATTTTATATTTACTGATTTGAGAGTAATTCTGGCATTTCTGGGAGTAATTCATAAAAGAAAGATGAATTTCGTACTTCACATGTCTAGAAGTAATGAGATGCCACTATTGAAATTATTGAATTATTCCCCTATTTAACACCAAATGGCCGGAATAAAAAACGAAGGGCTAAATTGAAAATGAAAACACAAAAGTTTGTGAACAATAATTGTGACTACATTAGATCACCAAAATCGTTTAGGAAAAAATTGAGAAAAAAAAATTATAGTATTAACTATGTTCTCACTCATAATCAGTAACATGACTATACTTTTTAACTCTTTTTTTTTTACTGATGAAATTAAAAATTTGATTAATGAATATTAAAAGGTAAAAAGAAACTTTAACATTACTCTTATCAAAATTATGTGTATTAAATATGATAATCATTTTTGAAATTGAGAGTATCACATTAAATAACAAATATATGTAATAATAACAACAACCAAATATGGTAATCTGTAATGATAAGATATGTTGTCTCCATTGGATTCTAATTTCTAAAATGCTTTGGGAGTGGTGGTGGGGTTCTAGAGAGAGAGAGAGAGAGCCAAAATGTGACCGTTAGAACTTGAATGCCACTTGCTCAAGTTTCAACTCTATTGAATCTAAGGCATTTCCAAAGTATAATATTATATTATACAGATACCAACTTGAAAATTTTCATTTAATTCAATCAAATTTTATTAATTCGTGATAATAAAAAAAAATTAGTCAAGTGAGAATAATTAATAAATATAGAGATTTAATTATTTAAAACACTTTGCATTCCATTTTCAAATTTTCACCATAAATAACCGATATCCTCTTCACTCTTCAGATCAACGTAATCCAGCCTCCACCCACCTGAATCCCAACATTAAATTTCAAGAATCCGATGTGGGCATGAAGAAACCTTAGAACCCATCGCTCTCCGCCTCTCTTTCTTCCTTAAAGTTCCTTCCTTTTTTTTTTTTTTTATATCTTCTCCGAAGTCTTTCTTAGAGCATTTTGGGCATTACAGTGTGGTGTGAGTAAGTGTATACACAGAAACGGTAATGGCGAAGAGGAGTGCGGAGGAGGAGGTGGAGGTGTGGGATGATGATGTGATTACAATGACTTTGGAAGGGGAGAAGGTGATAGTGAAGGAGATGATAAACAAGGAGGACGAGTCTGAGTCTGAGTCTCATCCATATGCGTTTCATGTATCAGGGCCTCGCAATGTTTCCTCACCCAATTGGAGAGACCTCATTAACTCCAGTTGGTCAGTGCCCATTTTCAGATTTGTTTTTAAATTTTTGAATTTTTTGGGCTGAGATATTGGTATACATACATAATTACATTTCTGAGATTGATATGGTTTTGTGTTTGTGGTCCTAATCTTGGGGTTTTATGGTTTATTGCTGTCTTCTTTGTGTTAATTTTGGTTTGATTAACTATTCTTGTACAAAAAAACTAGAAAGATGCCAAATCTGAGAGTCTTGGTTCTCTTTTCCTTGCCTCTTTATAGAACCATATGAGTGTAGATAGAAGCTACCTATCAGCTCTAAGATTTTATGTTTCAATGATCATATGAGTTTGCTTCTGCTATTTGATCTTGCTTGCACAAAAGAGGGTCAGTATAATGGAGAACAGTTGATGCATTATTTGGGATTTGGTAATTGCAATTTGTCTGTTCTGTTTATGTTTTTTGATTGATCAAGAATCATGGTTTATTGTTGACAGTTTTTTTAAAGGTTTAATGGTGCATCTTATTTGTGTCATGAACTAAATTGAAGAAACTGTTTTGTTTTCTGAACTTTGGACTCCATTAAAAGACAGATCCTCTTCTTTGGAAGCAATTTGATCCTTTAGGACTAAAATTGTGGCATTTACATATACAGGAAGGATGCAAATTATAAAAGGACAGTAATTGCTTGCTTTATCCAAGCAATTTACTTGCTTGAGTTAGACAGGCAAGAAAACAGGAAGGAAGAAAACGAACTTGCCCCGAAATGGTGGATACCCTTCAAGTACAGGCTGGTCGAGACGCTGATAGATGAAAGGGATGGGTCGATATTTGGCGCGATATTGGAATGGGATCGAGCAGCAGCTCTGGGTGATCTCGTGTTCATAAGACCGAGTGGTGCACCGAGAGCTGTCTTGGCTCTACGAGGAACGCTTCTCAAAGGCCCCACGATGAGAAGGGACATTGAAGACGATCTCCGTTTCCTAGCTTGGGAAAGCCTAAAGGGATCTGTCAGGTTTAGCTGTGCTATGCAGGCGCTCAAATCGCTTATTGGCAAATTCGGGAGCAACAACGTGTGCATTGCAGGTCACTCCCTCGGGGCCGGCTTTGCTCTACAAGTGGGAAAAGCGTTAGCCAAAGAAGGTATATACGTAGAGGCACATCTCTTCAACCCACCCTCGGTTTCACTAGCCATGAGTCTGAGGAACATAGGAGAAAAGGCCGGTTTTGTTTGGAAGAGGTTCAAATCAATGCTCCCTTCGGGCTCTGAGGCTCAAACCATCTCTGAAGAAAGTGCAACAAAGCCATTCCAATTTGGCAGCTTAAAGCAATGGGTGCCACATTTGTACATCAACAATAGCGACTACATTTGTTGCTCATACACCGATCAAGATGAAGCACAGAACAGAAACCAGGGTGATAAAGAGAATACAAAACCGTCGAATGGGCAAGTTGCTGCTAAACTTTTCCTGTCATCAAAGGGGAAGCAGAAGTTTCTCGAGGCGCATGGAATAGAGCAATGGTGGTCCGACAACTTGGAGCTGCAAATGGCTCTGAATAGCAGCAGGCTGATAAGCCAGCAGCTGAAATCTTTGTATAGCCTCCCCCCTACCTCAAGACAAACAGCGGCTAAACCCCCCAAGAGTTAGGAGTGGGTAAGAATCCCAGCAAATGACTCATTTTCAATCACATTACTATAGTGTTGTTCATACTAATTCTTGTTTCACCTTATTGATTGTTAAATCAACTGATTGCTGGTGCCTGCTGTCTCATCAATTTTTAATGAAATATTTTTCCTTGTTAGTATGATGCCTTGCACTTTATAGATCATCCTAATAGTTTATACTACCACTTTAGTATGATGTATGCACATTTCGTCCCTTTCTCCAAACGTGAACAATCGTCACCATTTTCAGGCTCGCGATCATCCTTTTTCATTGTCCACCATAGTATCAATATTCTGGTTGATGAGAAAATCTTTGGCCATGATCTTGACAATCGCTTCTGAGTCCAATTCTATCACCACTTTGATCCAACCTATAGCCTTGATTAGTTTAGATCTCTTCCCAAAAAAATTGGCTCTTTGGAGAATGGTTGAGTGAGGCCAGGCCAGCACAGGGGGAATGGATGAAGCAAAAAGTAAAGGCGACTCCACTGGGAATCGAACCCAGAATCTCTGGTTTCGTAGACCAGCGCCTTATCCATTGGGCCATGGAGTCTTGTTGTTGGTATTGATCTCTTTTTTCTTTTAAACTATGTTTCATACACCCTAATGCATGAAAGATGATCCAGTCTAATGTGGAATTTGTATTTAGAATAATGCTTATTTTTCAGTATATTTTTACCTCCTATAATTTCTCCTTGATATTGTTCAATTAAAGAACAACTAAATAAAACAAGGTTGTCTCTTGGGACTAACTTAATTAGTTCAACCTTATTAATTATAGGTAATAAAAATTCTTGAACGCAAAGTGTATAGATAAGAGATATCAAATATATTTTGGGAGAAGAGATATCAAATATATCACAAGAAAAGTAAATATTTGTTGGCGTTGAATGACTAATTAATTTCTATTACCATTTAACTATTAGACTGAGATTTATGATGTATCGTCCGTAGGGATTCATTTATTTCTTTTTGCACATATCATTATCAACGTCACTCACATTAAAATGTAGTTTTTCTTTTCATCCTTGTATATAAACGAAAAAGAAATTCACTTTAAGGGAAGATTAAAATGTTTACCTCATTCAGTTTGCTTCTCAAAATCAACGTTATTTATTTCCAATCAACATTTTAAAGCATTTTGTTACATTAGTGTTGGGCGGAGGCTAGTGAAAGGTCAAGTCCAACACCAGGTGGTCAGGGATAGTTGGGCGGAAGCCTGAAGGGCTAAACCTAACACCCTACTTAAAGTTGCGCATTCGCTATAAGCTATAGTTTTTGGTGTAGTGATGAGCGCTTGATCCTAACATGATATCAGAGTCAGGTCATGAATTCGAGTCCAACACCAGATGACTAAGGGTATTAGGACTTTGTATTCTAGGCACACTAGAATTCATTCTCCCAAAGGGAACTATAATGCATAGTTTCTTTAATATAGTACTTTTTTTTTTTTTTTGAAGAGTCTTAATAGTACTTAAATTTGCTCAACTTATAATAATATATTGGTGTTTAGATCATCATACAATTATATATACCATAGGATCAAAATTAAAGTAAAATTTCATTTTGGATGTGAACTAAGGTTGTAATTAACACAGTAAATTAAAATAAAAAGCGATACAATTAAACTTTTTTTCCATTGATCATTGTGATTTGATCTCTAATACATTTTCCATTGATTAATCGTGGCCAGTGCTAACTGTACTACTGCTTCAATAATATTCCTTAAGCTTTACGAAATATTGCAAAATACGAAAATTGATACAATATGTATGCACACATTTTCCTTAACAAAGAAACTACGCCACACTTTCATAAGTTTCATTGACTTCATGTTAAATTACTTAGCTTAATTAATGTGATTATGAGAGTAAAGAGTGGGCCCATTATAATATCAGTCATTATATTATAGACCGCGGTGCACACATGCACCGCGGTAAAAAACGGCGTTGTTTCTTTAAGTAAAGAAACGACCCGCCGTTATAGTTAACGGAGTCCGCTTGTTTGGTGTATTAGACACCAACTGACACTACAGTATATCTAAACCGACACTGCAGTTATATCAAAATGATACTGTAGTTATAGTGAAATGAAACTGCAGTGTATATAAAATGAAACTGAATAACATTTCACATATTTGAGTGTATATTGTACAATGAAGCTGTAATTATATCAAAATGATCATGTAGTTGTGTTTTAATGAAACTATAGTGTATATAAAATAAAATTAAATAACATTTTCACATATTTGAGTCTATAAATATTGAATGAAACTATAGTTATATCGAAATGAAACTGTAGTTGTATTGTATTAGGCAGTTAGAATTCATAGCCTAGCTTAGCCTGGTCTTCAGCTTATATAGCTAATATTCTGTTATAGCTTATGTATATAAACCCACGCAGTGTATCTCTCAAAGTGTGAATGAAAATATATTTTTCCCAAGATATCCTCTTCAATCTGGTATCAGTTTCAAAGCCATCGTTCCTTTCCTCCTTTTTTTTTTCTTCGATCCTTCATGGCCACTGCTTCCAACAGCAACTCCCAACCGGCCGATTCTTCACCGGCCGAAGACGCACAGGCGATCACCCCCGCTGCCGTTGCAACCACCACACCGCCTTCGAATGTGCTTCACCAGGCACATCACTACGTGTCAATTAAGCTGACCGCCACGAACTACTTGTTCTGGAGAGCGCAGCTTGTGCCGTTTCTTCGGGGACAGAACCTGTTCGGTTTCGTCGACGGCACCTCCACTTGTCCACCGGAATGTGTAGTTGCGTCCTCTGCCGATGCGCCGCCGGTGGTAAATCCTCTGCATGCTCAGTGGATACAACAAGACCAATCCATCCTGAGTATGCTATTCTCATCACTCGCTGAAGAAGTCTTGTACCTCGCTATAGGCCACTGTACGTCGCGTGCAGTATGGGTGGCACTAGAGACGGCACTCGGTTCCTCATCGCGTACAAGGTCGCTCAGCTTGTTGGCTCAACTTCAGAACCTCCGACAAGGAGATTCATCCCCCACGGAGTATCTCAGCCGCGCTCAGGTTCTCGTTGAGCAACTCCATCAGGCCGGACGACCGGTAAGTCTTGGCGAGCAGAACCTCCATGTTTTCAGGGGTCTGCGATCGGAGTACCGTGCGCTGGTGGCTTCCCTCACATCCAAAAGTGCACCGTTGACATTACCTGAAGTAGCTGATCTCCTCTCCACGCATCAATATCTGTTCGCAGATGAAGCCCCGCCGGCGCTGCCCCAGTTTCCGTCAGCTCTCTTCACACAGCAGCCACCAGCGGCGAATCATCCAGAAGGTAACTGCGGTCGTGGCCGTAATCACAGAGGACAACGCGGACGTGGCCAGCGCGGACGTGGAGGAATTCGTTGCCAAATATGTGACATCCCCGGACACACAGCTTTGACGTGCTACCGGAGGTACAGTGACGCTAACGCCATTCGCCCGCCGCAACAAGCCTGGACGCGATCATCTCCTCCACGTGCCAATGTGGCCTATCAACAACCGCCTCAAGAAGATTTCAACACGGCTCCGTTCAATAATGTATGGATTCCCGACTCCGGGGCAAATGCGCATGCTACACCGAATTCTGGGGTCCTACAAGACATTGAACCATATACGGGGACCGAGAACTTGAAGGTTGGCGATGGCACAGGTTTGTCAATCCTGCGTACAGGTTCAGTTTCTATTACTACTCCGTTTCGGTCACTGTCTCTAAATAAAATCTTGCACGTCCCACAATTGCGTGCCTCTTTGTTATCCGTACACAAATTTACACGGGATAACAATGTTTATTTCGAGTTTCATCCTTATTGTTTTCTTGTGAAGGACCGTGTTACCCACCAAACGCTCCTTAGAGGTCCCAACGAAGGTGTCCTATACTCGCTCAATGTGTCATCTCCAACTGCCCTTCTGTCTGCTAGAACGTCAGCTCAAGTCTGGCATAAACGCCTCGGTCACCCGCATAATCAAGTTCTTCGTCAAGTTCTGTCTAGTTGTCCAGTTAATAATTCTGTAAACTCCTTGAATAATGTCTGTACTGCATGTCAAATGGGGAAGTCCACTCGCTTTCCCTTGTCGCAAATTAAGCATTCCACCACTTCCGTTCTTGAATTAATCTACACGGATATTTGGGGACCTTCATCGGTCATCACGACTGAAGGTTTTAAATATTTTGTACTATTTGTAGATGACTATTCAAGATATGTGTGGTATTATCCGATGAAAAATAAAACAGACATTTACTCAATATTTACACATTTTCGTGCCTTAGTCGAAAGATATTTCTCCACTCAAATTAAAAGTATCCAATCTGACCTAGGTGGTGAATACCGAAAATTACACTCGGTGTTTGCTGCTGCAGGTATCTTACATCGACAGTCATGTGCACACACACATGAACAAAATGGCCTAGTTGAACGTAGGCATCGTCATATAGTCGAGACTGGTCTGTCTCTATTAGCCCACAGTCATGTTCCACATAAATATTGGCATTTTACATTCGAATCAACTGTCTATTTAATCAGTCGAATGCCCACCACTGTTCTCCATAATCAAAGTCCGTACTTCTTACTGTTTCATAAGTCTCCGAACTATGCCTTTTTAAAGGTGTTCGGTTGTGAATGCTTTTAGTGCTTGCGTCCTTACAACGCACATAAAATGGAGTTCAGGTCTGTGTCATGTGTTTTTCTGGGTTACCCCGATTCGTTTAATGGTTACAGGTGCTTAGACAGAGCAACGGGGCGGGTGTATATTGCTCGTCATGTCAGGTTCAATGAGGATGTATTCCCCTATCAACACATCCCGGAGCTACCGCAACAGTGTGACACTAATACCGGTCATTTGACGTGGGCATGTGCCCAGATTGCACAACCTGCGGTTAATAGTGCACCACCGTCCCAGCAGGTACATAGACCACCCGGAGACTCATCAACCAGTGGGGCTCAACCAATACACTGTTTGCAGCCTTCGGCGGAAAATGCGACAGATTCCTCTTACCGGCCGACTACATCAACGTCAACTGCACCTCGTACTCGCCGAAAACGCTCCCCTACTCGGAAGCATGTTATGCACCTTCGTGACACAACGAATCAGCAGCGGCGACCTCCCAGAGCCATGATTGCCTCTGTTGA